CAGTAACAACAGAAACTGCCTGATGCCTTCTCGCCTCTTCTAATTCCTTGAGCTGCTGGGGTGCTGCTTAGTGTCAGCCTCTAAGGCTCATGGAGCTCAGATTTTTCTGTCTGAACTCCTCCCCTGCCTTTCTACTGCTGTACCAACCATTAGTCCAGAACCTCGTTGGAAAGCAAGGACTTGTCAGCTGCCTTGCCATCTGGGAAATGAGAAGCCAAACTCAGAAAGCCTGGAAATTTAGAAAAGGTGAGCTTTGGCCTCACTTCTCTGTGTTGGGGGAACAGCAACAGCAAGGGGAAGGTCCCTTTCTTCCCTGTGGAGGGGTTGTGTGCTTGAATCAGGAAAACGAAAATGCAAACTCCAAAGTTGGCCATTTCACCAAGGGATCACACCAGAAACTAAAGATATGGCTTTCTGTATGTTGCTGGTGAGTTTTGTGAAAACTGCCTCCCTTCCTATGCACACATAGGACCAGGACCATGAAATCCCAGGCTTGTGCTCCTGAAATCAACAGTTGAGCCCAGGCTTTTCAGGTAGTCAGACTATGAGGAACTGGAAGGAAGCCCTTGCCTCTATTACCAGCTGCATCCAGCTGCAAGGCCTCAAAAAAACATCTCATGAGCTCATGAGGGCTTCCAGGGTTTTTCCTAGGTTGGTTCTGGTGTGTGCTTTAGGAATTGCCTGCAGGGTTGTTCCACTGTGGTAGGGCCTAGGGTTCCAGAGAGACGTGGGGCAGGGAAAGGATCCCATTGGGGGCCTGATTATTTCCCACTGTGGAGGCAGTATGCACAATGTCAGATAGCTAAGAAAAAATTTCAATATACTATTCACAGAAACCCAAGTGGGGAGATTTGGCTTAACATCAGTTAACTTCCTGACAATAAATTCCAGAAAGCAAGACTATTTTTTCTTTGCCAGTTCCTTCCACCATGGGACTATGAGTGTGAGATGAACATGCTTCCATGGGTTCTGGAGAAGTATGTCCAAGTGAAGCAGTGGCAGCTTATCTAGCCCAGTTTGACCCAAAGGGAAAAAAGGGTTTTCATGTTGCAAAAGAAAAATAAAGCAATTGATGTGATCTGTTTCCACTTGGCAAATCAGAACTAAATGCCCAGAGTAAGCTTCTCTGTCTACATGGGACCAAACCCACTGACCAGCCCTGTCCCTTTGCTGGACCAAGTCAGGAGCCAACTCCTGAACTACTACAATAGTGAAAGTTCGAGTATAGAGGCCCAGCATTGCTGCAGGAAGGATGGGATGGGCTTGGCTATCAGTAGGAATGGGAGGACCATCAGCGTGAGGTGCTACAGAACAGACTTTGGATGTGGCTGCAGGGAGGCCGAGATGTGTCTGCTTGTTGCCAGGGAAAACAAAGACAAAAGGATGCTTGGCTACAGAGCCCACAGAGAGGCTTTGTTGGTACCAGGACCTGGCTTTGCTGTCCCAAAGATCCCACAGCCACCTGTTCGTACCAGAAGGCAGATTACAGTGCCCTGGGCTTACTTCAATATACCATCTCCAGCCACACTTTGGGGATATTGACACCAATTGGGAAAGAGATGCTGGGCTTCCCACTGCATTAGCTTGTGAGTGCACAGTTGGAGGTGGGACTGATACCCCAACTGGGAATAGGATTTCACAGCCCCCTAAATTCCTAAGCCACCCCAATGAGCTGGTCTCAGGGTCATGGCCCAGGTAATGTGAAATGAGGTGGCAGCAGTGGAGGGAAAGACACTCCACACTCCACCTTGGGCTGGGAGGAGGAGTGGCTGTCAGCTGGGAGGAAGCTACAGAAGCTATGCTGGAGCTAGGAGTCACAGGTCATAGCTAGGAGTCAGCAGATCACATCATTTGTAATATGATGTGACAGTGGTGTGTTTGGACAATCCTTTGAGTGGGGACTGCTGCCTGCAGAAGCAGCAGAGGCGTGTGCATTCATGTGGTGTGGGAGGCTAGAAAGGGTGGGGAGGTGCACTAAGCCCCCAGATCCCGGTTACCCTCTGGTTTGGAGGACATCCTCTGGCCACTTCTTTCATTGGCCCTGAGGGCACAGGGTGTGTCCCCTCTCCTAGGAGAGCCTGAGGGTCCTTAGTGGGAAGGACTTTGAACTTCAGGCCCCTCCAGTGCTCTGAGAGCTGCAGGCACAGTCCTGACTCCTTGCGGGGCTAAAAGGAAGACCTGCCTGGAGCATGTGAAGCGGGTAGGAATTCCTCATGTATGCAGCCATGGTTTTCCTTAGGAAACTGTGTGACTTATGGAAACTTTGAGCCTGTGACCATAACACCTTGTACAATGCTGCCTCTTGTCTAGGGGAGCTCTGTCATGGCCTTCACCCTGCTTTCCTTCTGAGCAGCTCTGGTCCTCTGGAAAGTTCTAAGGACAGAAGGGGGGCTGGGGCTAGTCCCCTCTCTACCAGGCCTGGCAGCCTAAGGGACCCTGAGTAGGTCCTGGCCCTTGCGGGCACCTGCCTTCTCCTGATTTGTAAGACGAAGGTGCTGGGCTCAGTGATTTCCTGGGGTCCTTGTAAGTCAGGGTGGGGGTTAGGTTCTGAGTTCTAAACCAGTCTGCCACAGGTGATGATGGCAGGAAGTGGTTTTAGTCAGTAGCTTCCAAAAGCTTCCCCCTTGGAGTTACCAGGTGTCTGAGCCAGCATCTTCCTTCACAGTCCTTTTTGAGGTGCTGCTGCTCAATGGGGCTGAGATTTCTAGGCCAGCCTTTGTCAGTTGGGACTTTGGGACCCCTGTTTCTTCATACCAATACCCTCCTTGGAAGGCCCTGCCACCCAACCCTTGCTGCCACTGCTTGGGTCCCCCCCGGAATAGCTTGTGAACAGCGGGAGGGTGGCATCTCTCCCACTGTACTTACCGGGCACTTCTGGGCTCCAGAGATGGGAAGGAGGGGGACAGATGTTCATGGAAGAAAGGAAAGAAGCAAGGTGCTGGGAGCCAAGGAAGAAGAGAGAGAGAGGCTGCCCCCAGGGAGGAAGTGGGAGGAATTCAGAGGAAGGGAAGAGACAGCATGCCTCACTCCAGAGACTGGAGGTGGGTGAGGGGGTCCACAGAGACTGGGCTGACCCTGGGTTGGGACAAGGCCAGAGCTGTGGAGAATGTGTGAGGGCCGTGTGGAGTAGGGCTCTGCCAGCTGCCTTCCCCCCCAAGTCGACATGTGGGCAGATGGACAGAGAGACAGGAAATGCAGAGAAGGCAAAGGAAAATATGTAGGAAGTCAATGGGAAGGAAAGGACAGGGCAGATCTACATGTGTCCTTTGGGGACACTTGCACCCACCTTTGCCCCTCACATCCCAGGAAGGAAGGTGCAGTTGCCCACCTGGGCCCTGGTCAAAGTGTGCTTGGGAGACCACACATCATTTCTGTCCTTAACTGACTTGGCAGAGACTGCTGATGGCCTCTCTGGGTGGGGTGGAGGTGAGGCCCTTTGGGGCCCCTGTCTGTGTGTGCCAGGAGCACTGGCTGCTTTCCAACTCAAGGGTGATGGGCTTCAGCCAATATCTTTGACCCAGGTGGGTGGTCCAGTGGGTGTATCAACAAGCTGGAGGGGTATGTGGCCTGTGGTTTGGAGAAGGGGTGTGTGTACACGCACGCCTGTACTGTTCCCCAGGGTGGCCCTAAAGGACAGCTTAAGCAAGAGGAGGGTGCCCCCCACCGGGGACCTCTCACGGGTTCCTAAAAAAAAGAAAAGAAAGAAATCAAGCAAAAAGAAACTCGAAGAGTCTGTGATGAGAAAAAGGCATAGTTAAGGACTCGCGTCTGCATGGGAGCTGCGGGGCTTCCCTGGAAGGCAAGGAAGAGGTAGCATTCAACCATCCCGTCAGGGGCTGTGGGATCATAGTTTGAAGGCTTACTGTTTGGTTTTGAAATCTCCTGAGTTTGTTACAAATAGCAGGCTGCCTGGGTGGGAATGGGGGACCTCACGTGGTTCCCGTGGTCTCTCCTGTTGGGTGAACCAGGGTGGCAGGTTCAGCAGTCTAGTGGCCTTTCCTTTGTCTTTGTAAAAAATGTGAGTGATTATGGAAGTTTCTACCTACTTAGGATGGCCCCTGGGTTCTCTAAAATGTGAGCAACACAATGGACCTATTCACTGAAATGTACCGAAGGGAATTGATTTCTCCTGGCTTCTTGGAGGAAGGAGGAGTAAGCATGGACCAGTGGGTTAAGACCTTCCACTCCTGGGGCCTGTTTGGAGAGAGCAAAGGTGCTTTGGGAACAATGGAAATGTGGTTCCCTCCGTGTCTTCCTGGCCTCTGAGCTCCAGTTCTCCAAACACCTCTAATGTCTGTTGGCTTGGGTCTGGCCACACAGGGCAGGTGCCACCTACAAAGGAGCACATCACCACCATTAAGCCTGCCTGGGGACAGGCGATGGTGGCATCCTTTGGAAGCCACCTCCAGGAGAATGCTGGGCATGACTGCTTTCGTCCACCAGGAGGTGGGCTGGGTTCTTCTGCTGCAAATGGTGCCACATGGCGGCACTTACCTCCTACACCAGCCCCAGGAGGTTGGCCCTGAGACACATACTTCCCTGAAACTCCCCACAGAACATGGAGCCAGGCCCCAGCCTGGTGTCAGACACTACTGGAAGAGGCCCAAGTTCTTGAAGAACCATCGGCACATACAGATAAGGTCAAGAAAAGAAAACCAACAGGCAGAAGGAGCACTAAACACAAACCAAAAAATCAAACAAAGCAAAGGACGGAAGGCCCGGCAGTGCCATGGCTTCGGCACATTTCATAAGAGAATATGGCTTTGGAGAGACACACCGCCTGGCGGGAAGGACTGGACAGGGCAGTAAAGAAGGAACGGAAAAGCCACGGTGAGCAGAAGTGCAAGACTGGAAAAAAGAGAAGGCAGAGTTGGGGAGGCTTTGTCTTCCCCCGAGATGCCATTTATGAGAGAAAAGGGAAGTCAAGACTCACTGCCAGCAGCGCTGGTGGGCTTGGCGGCAGAGAGAGTTACGTGAGTAGGGGTAGAAAGATTGGTTACGTCATGGAGCTGGCTGAGGACCGAAGACCGCCGGCGCACAGCACCCTGAAATGACCCGCTTCTCTTGAAGGTACTCACTACCTCCATCTGTGGGAGAGAAAACGAAATAAAGGTTGGCTTGTACTGCGGTCCAGGCTACCGCAGGGGGTGGGGCTGGGCGAGGACAGGGGCCACACTGGGGACATATCGTGACAGCAAAGCCTCAGCTAGGTCAGCCCCACTCACTGGGAGCTGCTGATGCTTTTGACCAGGCCATGACAAAGAGAGGGTTTGCTGGGCAAATGATTAGTGGTCATCAGATTAGGAGGGACGGGTTACAGATAGGGCACACTGCAAACATTTTGGAAGTAGTCATTTGCGATCACGATATGCTCATTGCAAGCCACTCATCAGTCAGTACCTGTGTCTGCCAATACTTTGTTATCCTACTTCGGCAGTTCTCAACCTTTCTTTCCGCCCCAACATACCTGAGGGACATGACATGCTCCCATTAGGAAGAGGCCTCTCCACTGGGTGGGGGCATCACCCTAGCTTCTGCAGCTCAACCAGGTAACTGGCACCCTCAAGCAGAAGAATGGATTTAGACGGAGGAGGAAGGCATTTCCCAAAGCACACACTTGGTCTTGTCATGACTCAATTCCCACAGACCCACAGCCTCCTAGGATAGGAGGATTGGGAAGCAAAGATGGCATGGCTTCTACTTTGTCTCCACCCTGAAGCTTCCTAGAAGTTGAAAGGGAAGTGGGTCTGTGGAAAGTGAGACCTATAGGAGAGCAATGTGGAAAAACCCCACAGGATGACCTCCAACCCTGTCTTTGCCTGGGACTTTTATTTATTGAGTTGGGGCTTGGGGTGGATCAGACATAAGCAGTGCAAGGGACTTCAGCTGATTGGCCACATCAAGTGTCCCCCCACTGGAAGACCACATGCCCAGACTCTGGGAGACCAGAAGCCTAGCACAGTCATGGCCACCTGTTTGGGAATGACCTCACTGGGGAGAATCTTTGGCCTTGGAGGGTGGATCTGATTTCTGGAAAGTACCATGTAGTTTACCGGATGACATGAGCAGCAAAGCCAGCATGCATTTCTGGAGCCCAAAGCACCCTTGCTACCTGCTCTAGGCCAATGAAAGGGAGCTGCCCACCCTCAATCCCTGCAGAGGCTATGCAGTGGCCATTAGTGGCCACCAGATTTCACTGAGCATCTGACTCGGGCCAGGGCTTCTCAGAAGAAGGCAGCTTGAGTGTTCAGAATTCCCCAACCAAAATGCAGATGGATGCCATTTCAACCTTGGACGCACTGCGGAAAAGACTCATCACCCCTCGACTCCACCTACCCAGAGCCCCTTTCACACAGCACAACCTGCTGGCTCCCTCGGGAGAAAGGGAAACTCAGAACTGTGACTGCAGCTGTGAGGAACGTGTACTACGCGCATGGTGTGTGGCACCGCGCAGTGAATCAGCACATGGAAGGCAGATGATCAATGCGATGGCGTCAGGATCTCTTGTGGGGGTCTCCTCTCAGATTTAAATGTTTCTAGGCTATAGAGACAGGTCTCTCCCAAGAGAGGACTGTTTCTGAAGCAAAAGTGAAGAGGGACAGGAAACATGCCCTTCTTTCTCAAATTCACATTGGCCTTTCCTGGCTCCATACGGTGTCCTCAAAGGATAACCGCATCATTGAAGATACTGCCATCATCACCCCACCACTACCACGGGAAGCCCAAGCACCAGGCCAGGAACAAGGCTTAGTTGTTGCTACTGCTTCTCATTGTTTTATAATGGAATGCAAAAAAAACCCAGATCATATCATGAACATTCAAAAAGCTCCATGCTCTGGATTTGAAGGACTTCCTTTTATTCTGCAATGACACTCTACCATCTGGTATATTGATATGTTAGTATGAAACAGGTGTGAGAGCAGGTAGCAGGTTACTTAGCAACAGAAAAAGTTGTGCAGGCCTCTGAAACCTGGGGAACAATTCTGTGGTTCACAAAATCCAGAAATCTGGGGTTGGCTGCCTAGAAACTCTTTTTCTTGGTTTGGGGTTTACACATAATCTGTGGGGCCTCTCCCAGGCTTTATTTCTGTTTTTCAAGCACGTATTTAAGAGATGTTCTTAAACAACTGAGCTGAAATAAGCATTCTTTAGAGGCATGGTGAATTTGACATGACAAAGCCAAACCGAAAAGCCACAGGTGTCAAGAGCTCATGGAGGAATGAGAGTGACTTTATTAAACGGAATAAAGTGTGTTGGGGGGGGAAGGCACAAGAGGCCTGGGCCCTGGTCAGACCTGGCTCTCAATCAGTGACCTTGGGCCAGGTTCTTCCCTTGGGGCCCCATTTCCTCACTTGTAAAGCATCTATATGGGCACAGACAACCATTTAGTCAGAATGGCATGGACTGCCAAGACTCCAAGTGATGGGACCCACTGCTGGTAACCAGGTGGCAGTGGCAGGTCCAGGAACCCACAAGCACACAAAGATACAACACACACACAGAGGTGGCCAGGCTACCACTGACACCTCATATGGGGGCAGGGCTGCTGTCTCAGCTGGTAGAAAAGCTAACAACAGGGAAATGAGCCAATGAGGAGCCAGGTCCTGCTGTACCCCTCCCTAGCTCAGGCCAGCTCTGCAATCTGCATTGGAACTTAAGTATGACAGACAAGAGCCTGCCTGGGCCAGAACAGGGCAGGGTATTCTGAGAACTCATAACCACAGTCTCCTAGATGGCACAGTTGAGTGGCCACACGGGCACTGGAGAGGATGTGAGGACTGTTTTCTAACATTTGGTATGTTTTAAATTTAGCACATAAATCTACATTGCAAGGAATAAGAAAAAACTATCTGTGCTGCATTCCTGGCCTGTCTCAGGCACTGTGCTTGAGGCATTAGCATTCCCATTTGGGAGAGGAGACTCAGGCCATGGCTCCAATGGCTGCTCCCCTTCTTCTGGGCTGAGGTGACACTACCAGATGCAGACCTAGAAGTCCTTTCCTGGCCAAGCTGGGGCAGGTTCCAGCTGGAGAAGCCTCTCAGGCCCTTGGGGAACTCCTTCAACATGGACTTCTTTGGTGCCACCTCACTGAGCCCTGCAGAATCCTATTACATAGGGGTGGGTTTGGGGAATCTAGCTCTGGAAAGTTCTCTAGGGCATTTGGATGTACCTAGACTAGTGCTCTGGGTTGGTTGCATGGATGGTCTGAAGTGGTGGGAGATAGAATGTGAGGAAGCTTCGCAAGGCTTGGGTGGCCTCTGAGCTGGCTTTTGCAGCATGAAGATGGAAGAATGCGGGGTGGGGTGCAGCAGCAAGCAGGGATGCACAGCGGCATGGAGAAGGAGAGGATGTATGTTGGCAAGACAAACAGACTCATGGGGCATGGAGAGGAGGAGGGAAATGCCAAAAGGCAGGGGCTTGAAGGCCATGCTCAGGGGCCTTCTGGACTTTATACTCAGGACAACAGAGAGAGGTTCTGCAGGCTGCAGTGCAGAGAGTAATGCCAGAGGGGCTGAGCTGAGCAAAGCCAATGGAGCAGGTGGGAGACCGGAAGTGTGTGGCCAGGCTGGGCCCCATCATCAGACCACTGAGGGTTGCACGAGAGCAGCCATGTGTGCTGGGAGGGAATACCAGACCTAGGGCACCAAAGACAGATGGGGGATGAGCCCTTGACCATGTTTGACAGACAAGTTGAAGGCAGACACTGTCGAGGAGGGGTTTGGCTTCAGTTCGTTCCCCAAGAAGTTGCCCAAATAGACCCCCAAGAGGGAATTAGCTGGGTGGTCCTGGGTAGGACTCCAAGGAGAAGAAGCAACTGGGCCTATGTTAGAGGCAGTAGGACTCTCACCTGAGACAAGGTGGACAGGGCCTTGCATGAGGAAGAGATGGTGAGCTATTTGGAGGCTTGCAGGGGAGGGGTGGGCCATGGAGAATTTACAGGGGTCAGGCTGGACCAGTAGGCTGCAGTGTGACGGGCTGGCTGACCTGGTGGGATGGAAAGGCTGGGGCAGTACAAGGCTGAGCCGGAGGTGTATTGCTGACAGAGAACAAGGAACAGATAGGACAGCAAGCTGTGTCAGGGCCAGCAGGGCAAACAGCATCCCAGAGGGTGACAGAGAAACAGTAACAATGCATCCAGAAGGAGACCTTGCAGAGCATGGGGAGAACTGTTTCTGGGGAGTGGCATGCAGTATGATCATGAGTGTGCAAGGGAACTGTGTGGAGAGGCCGTGCGTGAGTAGGGAATATTCTGGCAGGAAGGCTGGCCAAGAAGAGACAGAGACAGAGAGCAGGGTAGTTTCAGCCCTCAGGCTCTTGTGAAGCCTTCCTAAGTGGCTACTGCAGTTGTGCCCATCTGACTTCAGAGGGGCTATAGTTGATGGTGTTGGCCTTGACCAGCCCTGACCTAGGAGCATTTGCACAGTAGCAACTTGTCCACAACCTGGGACAGCCACCGCCAAGTAAAGCAGATGGTGCCTCTGAGACACAGCCACTGATCACCAGCACACACTTTTAGCTGGCACCTGCACCACTATGGGGGGTCACCTGGGCATTGAGGGAGGTGTCAGGGAGAGGCAATCTCAGTGCCCCAGCCAGTGATGAGCACACCTAGGATGGTAAAGGGGAGCCTAGCAACTGCCTCTGTGTGCTTGGGGGCAAGACCTAGTGGCTTCCCCATTGGTCTCAGGCCACTTGCTCACTCTACTTCTTGCTTGCTTTCTAACCTCTCAAGGGAGAAGAGCCACAGGAGCCAAGAGAAACGGCGGCTTACCTGCGTCTGGATCCGGTTGAGGCCCCGGAACCAGAGGATCTGGCCCCTGCGCAGTTCCCGCTCAGCATGGTCTATCTCCTCTTCCCCCTCGGCCAGCTCCTCATCGGTCATCTCATCTTTCCCAGGCCCATGTCCAGCTTCCTTCAGGCACTTGAGCTGGCTGGTGGGGATGGTGGCGATGACCTGTGGAGGCCACAGTCGAGGGACAGACAGCAAGCAGAGGTGGCCATGAGAGCAGGTTCTGCTGGAGTCAGCAAGAGACCAGAGGCTCCACCTCCCACCAACATAGGCTGAGGTCTGGTGTCTCAGGCCACCCCCCCCCCCGGGCCTGCAGACCCTTGTTTCCTAAACTGCCCCTCCCTGCAGGCAGACAACTCCTCCATCGAGTCCCCGCCAAAGGGCCAGGAGTAGTCAGAGAAGCCTATCTGCAGACTGCTGTGAGTAAAGATGGGTCCTGGGAGGGATCTCGAAGCCTGGAGCATCCTGCCTGAAAGAAGTGTGGCACATGGAGGCCTTGGCTTCCCACTAGTCTATGCAAACGTTTTAATTTACAGTGGGGACCTTGAGCCACAGAGGGGCTGGAGAGTGAGGCCCATGTGATAGACCCCAAAGAAAAACCCTGGATACCAGAGCTGAGCTTCCTAGCTGACAATACCCCACACATGCTGTCCCTCATGGTGGCTGATTATACTACTTCCAAGGAGTGACACGTGGAAGCTCACATCTGGGCTCTCCTGGAGACAGCATCTCCTGAGGAAGCTCAGTCTACAAAAGGGCCAAGATCAGGGTCCATCCAGGGAGGGAGAGGTGACAACTGGCAAGGGCAAGAGGAGGAAGAGCCAGGGAGGGCTGAAGGGAAGGCTTGGCTTTGTTTCCCTGTCTGGGCAGAGAACGGTGGATTACTCTGTTCGTCTTGTGTGTCTGAACTTTGTTAAACATGGCTGAGAGGAGACTTGATGATCTTTTCATCCTTTCCATTGGTTTTAACATGTTTTTTTTTTTGGGGGGGGTCATTGAAAACAGTTAAGAACAAAAAGAGTGGTACATAGCCTTATGGGACAAAGCTTCAGGCTGGTGCCACCTATCCTAGGAAAGGCCTAGAGCAGACACTGTGTCAGGAACTGGGAGCTCAAAGATCAAGAAGGTGCTGGCACTGTCCTGGCTCTGTGGAATCTAGGCTCTATGGAATCCAGGCTGTAGGAAGCCAAGGGACTCCATAGGATGACCAAGCCCAGGTGTGACTGGGAAGAGAGGTGCAGTGGCAGATGGAAAGAGAATTCCAAAAACAAGATGGAGGAATTGGGCAGGCCATCCCTGAGGACTAATGCCAGGTACCAACAGAGTCTGGCCTCTGCAGCAACTGCAGGAGCCCCTCTGGCTGGCTTGGGGTGATGCCAATGGATCAAGAAACAAAATCCAGAGTACTATGGACTAAACTGTGTCCCCCAACTTCATATGTTGAATCCCTAGCCGCCGCCCCCCCTCCGCAAGTACATGATACTTGGAGGAAGGAGATTAAATTAAATGATACCAAAGAGCTCTAGCTTTTTCTCTTGGCCCTGTGAGCATGCAGTGAGAAAGCAGCTGGCCACAAGCTAGGAAAAGAAATTGGCTGGAACCTTGATCTTGGACTTTCATCCCCCAGAGCTATGAGAAGATAAACATCTGTAATTTAAGCTGTCTGTTTGATATTCTGTTATGGCGGCCTGAGCTGACTAAGACACAGAGAGAGGTGGATCCTGCACTCAGCTTCCTGTGCCAGTGTTCCGGAACTCCAGAGAAATGCTTTTTGAGATCTCTTGTGCATCCATGGCAGGAGGAGCTCACTCTTGCCACCCAGGCTGAGGCTTCCTGATCTAATCACTGTGTGGTTCTCACATTTTCCCCCAGATCAAAATGCTTCCTAAGTTTTCTCAAGAACTTCTCTTTGCCCTGCAGATTATTTATTAGGGTATTGTTTAATTTCAAATATGTGGCATTTTCCAAGCCACCCAGTTAATTGTGTGTGTGTGTGTGTGTGTGTGTGTGTGTTTTCTGGGGATGGAACCCGGTGCTTTATGCATGCTGGGAAAGCACTCTACCACCAAGCTATGCCCCAGCTCCCAAGCCACCCAGGCTTAAGGGGCAATTTTTGGTTACTATCACAGAAAGTGGAACAATGGGTTGTTTCCTGGGCCCTGGGACATCCCAGCCATGATCCTTTGCTGCTGATGCCATCACTTGAGGCCTTGCCTCTTAGTCATGGTATGTCACAGGCCTGAGCCTACTGTGCTGAGCTCCCCACATGAACATGTCATGCAAGTACTTTCCCAGGCACAAGCTCTGAGGCTCTGGAGCAGGTAGTTGGGTCAGTGGGACCCTAGGCCAGCCTGGACTGCTGGCATCACTGGTGCCATCAGCAGAGCCAAATGGAAGAGTGAGAAAGCTGACTAGGAAGACACTCACCTGTCCCCAGACCAGCTCCCCAACACCAACAAACAGGCACCAGAGCCACTGCTCTGTAGACAGAGGGGAGCAGCTGAAGGGCTTCCCGCCAAACTGGACGATGACAATCTGCAGAAGGGGGATGGGAAAGGGTGGGTCCAACAGCAGTGGACCACTGGTACATATCCCAGCTGCCCTTCATCTACCCCAGCCCTTGACCTGTCTTGCCTACCAGGATGGCCTTTCTTGAGAGCCAGGCCATCCTGGTCAGAGTCAGAGGACTGTTGACTCCTGCAGGCAGACCAGCTGCACCCTGGGAGAGGGCCTTACTTTCCTTTGCTGGGGCTCTTTCCCTACCTTTTTGCCTCAACAAATGTGTGAAGGTGAATTCACAGACTGGTTGACTACAGGGCCAAGGTTTACATGATGGGCCAGCATGTAGCTTTACATACCACCCCCACATCCTCTCTGGGGGCTATGTACCCACTGACTCCAGCTTCTGGATGAGGCTCAGCTGTGCCGACCGCATTTCCAGCTTTCACGAACTGATGCTTTAATACCTAGTCCACATGCACATGCCAGATGCCCTTGGGCTGGGTAACCCATAACATGAAGGTTACTTTGATTTGGCTTCCTCTCTCCCTCTCCCTCTCCACCTCAGAGAGCTCCTATTCCCAGGGGCAAGCTCTTCAAGAAGTACAAACCAACCAATCCAGAGCCCATTCCTGAACTCCCTCCCAGGGCAGTGTCTGACAACCCAGACAGCCCCCATGCCCCAGAGTGGGCTAAAATGATTCACACCAGCCACTCCTAAGCCTGTGGATCTTGTTTTGCCCATTCTGTCTTGGAGAAGCCACAATAAAGGTCTTTGTCCATGGCTCTCTCTCTCTCTCTCTGCCTTCTGACTGACACTTCTGAGTGGCCTCTGTGGTGTGGCCTCTGTAGTGTGGCATGCCTTCTGCTTGGGATCTGTGAGCACTGAATAATTATGAATAAAAAGATAATTATCTTTTGATGGCAACCATCTTCCAATTTGTGAGCCTTACTGTAGCTCAAGTTTTCCTTGAAGACAGTGTATTTTAGAACATTCAGCCCCTGCTGGGGACCTGAGATGTCCAACTTGTCCATTGCACAGTGGCAGGTAAAGTTCAGTACATTAACTTTGGGCACAGCTGGCATCTCCAAAAGAACCTTCTGGAGTTCCAGTAGCCTCACACCAAGGAATTAGATGTCAGAAATAGGAATAGTAGACTGGAAGGGAGTCAGGGAAGGCTACTTCTGCCATAGGTGAGAAAAGTCAGTTCTGATTCAGGTCCACTAAACCCCTCTCTGGCACAGTAAGGTATGGGTAAGAGGAAAACCATGATGGTCCAGACTGGTTTTGTGACTGGAGGCAGGAAGGCCAGGACCAGGGGAGTCCTAGGGCCTTGAAGCCCTCTATCCCCACCCCTCAAAAGCAGCACAGAATAAATGTGGAACTGCCCCTTCTACCTGAATTCCAAAGGTACCCAGGACAATGGTGCAGAAGATGGGGTTGCTGAAGATGCCATCAAAGACGTTCCTTTCGCCGTGGATCTTGCGGGCATTGATCTCATTGAAGAGCTGCATCATGACGAAGGTGTTAAAGATAATGGTGTAGTGCTCTGAGGGCGGGGAGTGCAGAGGTGCATTCCTCCCACTGTCGATGTCAAAGAAGAGCTCCCCTGGAGGGAGGAGAGAGGCAGGGCTGAGGATGTGGCTGTGTGTGTGGGTGCTCCCTGCATCAGTCACCTCTGGTCTTTACCACCTCAACCCTGGGGATGTCCAGTGGGAGACCTACAATGAGGGCTGGCAGGGAGGTGAGGGCCAAGGGTGTGGAGCAGGCCTGTTCTACCCTGTGCTGGGCTGGGGATCCAGATGACATGTGCCAGACAGCACCCAAGCATGAGGGGAAGCCACAGTGTAGTGAATGCCTTGCACACACCAGCTGCAATGTGTGCACTCTGGGGCCAACCTACCAACGAAGAGCAGGGTGAAGATGATGGTGAGCTGATAGACCGCATGGCCTAGGATATTCTTCATCATGGTGCGAGAGATGAGGGGCTTGTCCCGACCATAAGGCTTCCGCAGCAGCAGTGACTCTGTGGGAGGCTCCGTTGCCAGGGCCAGAGAAGCAAACGTGTCCATGATCAAGTTCACCCACAACATCTGCACAGCTTTGAGAGGAGAGTCCTGTGGAGAAGGGATGGTCACCCTTCTGTAAGCAGGCTGCCCAGTTTCCCAACTGGGGACAGCCTGGGGTGGAAAAACCTGTAGCTCCTAGGAAGGAACTCAGCTTGCGGTCAATGCCATCAGAATTTCATTCCCATAAACATATAATGTCTGCAGCCCTAGGTGTCCTTTATGTTAGCAGGGGTTTACTGCTAGGCTTCTAGTTTCTGCCCATCTCCTTCTGTTGCCTGCTGGCAGTGATCTAGAAGGTGTGAAAGGTCCAGCCAGTTATCCCAGGCTAAAAAAAAAATAGTCCAGTGAAAGGGGGCTAGCTTTGGGGCCACAGAAGGATGGACACTCTTTCAGTCTCCTATTCCCAAGGGGCAGGAAGAGGCCAGAACTCTGATCTGACTTGCCTTGTCATCCCCTAATCGTTCTTTAAAAATTGGCTTCAAGGCGTCATATGGTTTCCCATGATCATATGATCACAAGGTTTCATATGATTTAATTCATTTGACATTTCCAAAACTGACATCTTCACAGAGAGAGCACCTTAGGGGAGCTGTAGGTTGGGAAAGGGAGTGGAGTGTCTGCTAATGGGTATGGGGTTTCCTTTTGGGGTGATCAGACTATTCTGGGAGTACATAGTGATGATAGTTTTACAACGTTGTGAATATAATAAAAACCACTGAATTGAACACTTTAAAATTATTATTATGGGGAAGTTTGTGTCATGTGATTTAGATCCCAAAAATCTTTGAAAGGACCAACTTGATCAGCAAATAATTTAACTACCTGTTGACAATAAGCTTTGACATCACTAATAGGGAACAAATCAATTCTGAATTGTCACCGATAGGGAAAATGGGACAATGAGAAAGGGGAGGAGATTCCACCAAGGGAGAAACTTGGAGTTCCCCAGAAAAATGGTACAAATATGTCCACACAGAAACTTGCACATGAATATTCCTAGTAGTACCAGTTATGATATCCAAAATGTAGAAACCACCCTGTGGGAGACCAACCTTACACGTGATTGAGTTACACTCCCCAGCTGGGTGCTGAGGCGCTCAGTCACAGAAATGTGGCAGAGCTTCCCCCACCCTTCTTGGGTTAGAGGGTCGGTGTCTTGTGCATGGGTGTGTCTTGCTACAGCCCCATGGGTGAAGCTATGCTCACCTGTTCCTTTGTAATATAACCCCTTGCCCTGTTTAGGATAGAATCTTCCATGGAAGTGCCTTGTGTGTGTCCCCTCCTCTTACTGTGCCCTTGGGTGTGGCCTACCCAGGTGTCAGTCAACCTGCTGACAGTGGACATCATGAAGATAGACTCAGCCCCCTGAAACCTGACCCCTTGCCTCATTTGAATAGCTTCTCCTCAATAAAAGGGGTCAGGGCGTGCTCTCGCTCTCTCTCTTTCTGCGGACCCTTAAGGTCAGAGGAGCCATCACAGCAACCCCCCCCCCAAAAAAAAGGTATTTGTGTCTCTTGTGTGGTTATTTTGCACAGCCCAGTTAACCCAGTTCAACTGGAGTGACCCCTGAGCCTGTTAGTCATGAGAACAGAAACCCGGCACCACCCAATAGTCCACTGGCTGATGAATGAGCAACACAATGTGGCATATGTACACAGATGGTATTATGAAATACTTTTCAGGTATAAAAAGGAATGATGTACTGACTATAACATGGGTGAATCTTGAAAAAATTGTGCTCAGTGAGATGTTACAAACAAAGGCCATATAGTATTAGGTAGCACTGATCTGGTGATTTCCAGGGGTGTGATAGGGAGTGACTGTATTGGGTATAGGGTTTCCTTTGGGACTGATGAACATACTATGGAACCAGATACATGTGATGGTTGCATAACATGGTAATCGTACTAGAAAATCTACTGAACTGTGTACCTAAAATGGTGAATTTGGGGGTACGTGAATTTGATTTCAATTAAAAAGAATCTGCAGCAAATAAAAAAAAATACTTGCTTTCCACCTGGCCTTTAAGCCTGAGCTTTTCAGCCTGAGCCTCTGCCCTCAGAAACCTTCCACAGGATTGTGCTGCCCACCTGAGTGATGCAGGCGCCTGTGAAGGCCACAATCACAGCCACAACGTTGACTGTCAGCTGGAACTGCAAAAACTTGGAGATGCTGTCATAGACGTTGCGGCCCCACATGACTGCCTTGACAATGCTGGTGAAGTTGTCATCGGTCAGGATGATGTCAGAGGCCTCCTTGGCCACGTCAGTTCCTGCAATTCCCTGGGGGATGGCACACAAACACAGAATCCATGAGTGTCCAAACCAGAGTGCTCATGGAGTCCATCCCTCAGCCCCCTTTGTCCACCGAGCCCTTGTGGGCTGGTTTTCTGTCTTGCACTTCCAGATGATGTTCGCCCAGCTAGGAACAGCACTCGTTTTAATCCATTATGATTTGTGCTATAAACATACTCTGAGAGTCATTGCCTGCCACAGTACAGGGAGTTTGCTCCTAAACTCAGAGGATGCTGATGACAGGGTCACTCACCAGCTTTCTGTTTGCTTTAGTGCTCTAGAGAAACTGATTATCTAAGTAGGCCCTGGGGGTCCTGGATTGAACAGTGGGTCCTTGCTTCTCCAGTACAGAATGCAGATGTGGCTATACCTGTGCAAAACTGCCCAGCCCTCACTTGTTCCACCTCAGGCCTGGCCCTGTGAGACCTGCTGTCAGAAAGCTCAGTTTGGTCTTCCCTCCAGGTCTGGGGGCCCAGAGGGGGTGGACTGGGCCCCTGGTGGGCTGCATTGAATGTGGGCTGAGTTGAGGGTACTCCTTTCTGCTAGAGTAGGGATAGGGCTTGCCAGGCTTCTGCCCTCAGTGGCCAAGCCCAGAGCCCTGTGTGTAGTACCTCCAGGCTCCTTGCTCAGTGGGCCTGGGGTTTGAAGGGAAGAACCACCTCTATGTAAGCAACAGGAAAGCAGCACAGAGGGAGACCCCACTAGGGACTCTTAATCACAAGTATAGAAAATAATTCAATTCTACTAGAAAGTCATAGAAATGAGAAGGTAACTTTTAGGCATTTGTCAATCAAATCCTCCCTACTCCCTACATGCATCCATATTTGCAATTTAGAAAGTGTATGATTTAGAAATATGGTCCAGGAGTCCACTTAAAGTGGACCAGGAGCGGGCAATGGCAGGCAGGGCCCATCACTGATGAGCCCCTGCTGCCTACTCCCCATCTCAGTGATGCCCCACTTCACTGCAGATGTCATCATGTCAAATGTCTTTAAACAAACCACAGGAAACTGAGACCCAAGGGAGGCAGAGCTCATATAGGCCCAAGTGCCAGGATGTGAGAGAACTTTCTATCCTACTGTAACCTGCCCTAACACAGTGTTTCACTCTCTAGTGCACAGTTACTGTCTGCGAGACTCAAGGTCTCATCTGTTGAGGTGACTGGCCTGGCCCTGGGTGACTTACCATGGCAAAGCCCACATCTGCCTTCTTGAGGGCTGGCCCATCGTTGGTGCCATCTCCAGTCACTGCCACCACCTGCCGCTGCTCACCAGTAGTGCTGTCGATGATCCCTGGAACACAGAATGGGGCAGGGCAGGGCCAGTGCCATCTGTAGATATGGAGACACCATGTCCCCCTGGAGCCCTGCCAAGGCGTCTGTGGGGCAGGCTGTCCTTGTGCTCCTGGGCACCTGTGGGTCAAGTCCCTCTCTTCCCACTGTGGCCCATCAGGCAGTGGTGAGGGGGGTGTCATTTGGTAGAAGAGAGGGAGCCGGCGCTGCGTGATTTGGGTTAATGTCTTCCTCCCGTGGATCTCAATTTCTTGATTTGCTCCAGTAAGGAGACCGCCTCTGTGGGCTCCTCCTGCTTGGGTATTTTCTATACACAAGTTTCTAGAAGCAGGATCCTGGCTTCATAAGCAGGCCCTGGAGACCCACATGGGAACATGACTTGAGGTGTTCATGAGCAGATGACAGGACGTGCCTGGGCACCCATGCTGCCCCCAGGAAGGGGCTGAGTGAGCTCGTTTACCTTTGACTAGAGTGTGCTTGTCGGTGGGAGACGACCTGGCGAGCACCCTCAGCTTGGGCCACACCTTGTCCAGCCGCTCTTGTTCTATCTGGGGGAAGCACATGATACTACACAGGTAAGATGGGTGCAGGGCTAGTGGAGGGACTGAAAAGGGCAGGGAAGGAAGGTCATAGAAGCAGTCAAAACTGGGACTAAGGTGGCAGGGAGCTACCTCGCCTTTCTCGTTGCGGATCCTCCTGTTGAACTCCTTCCCTTCCAAGCACAGGAAGTCCTCTCCTGGTTGGATGATGCCACACTTGGCTGCAATGGCCCGGGCCGTATTGATGTTGTCTCCAGTCACCATGCGAACTGTGATGCCTGCACGCTGGCATTTGCGGATAGCTTCAGGGACCTGCAAGAGACAAGAAGAGAAAGCAAAGCCAGTAAGGCAAAACTTATTTCGTGTCTGGGCTGTGCTGGGTCTAACATCCAGAGCTAGTAGTTAAGCCAAACCTGTGTACCCAGGCAAGGTGTCTGTGGAGGGTGGGCCCAGAGAAGGCATAGAGAACAGCCCATGGTAGGCGGGTGCCTCCCTCAATCCTCAGCCTACCTACGCCAGGGACCAGCAATGACTTAGATCCAGGCCCTGGTGGTGTGAGCAGGGCTGGGAGAAGCCATTGGAATCTTTCATATTCATGTCTGGAAGGGGTACCAGGGTGGCCATAAGATTTACCCAGCTGTTAACCTCATTTTCCAGCTGGTAAACTGAGCTCCAGGGCTGCTGAGCAGAACCAGTCCAGGTCACCAGGCAGCAGGTAGGGCAGGGACATTGACTCTAAAGAAAAATAAGAAAGGGGCCTCCCAACCCTGGCTACTTGACTAGCTTTCCTGTGGCTAGCAGTGCCTGCTACAGGCCCATCCTTCTGGGACCCTGACTCAGGGTGAGGACTCAGCGGTCAGCTGACTCTGAAGCAGCCAGAACTGCAACTAAGCTCTGGGCTCCTCTCTTACCGTCTGGGCATTAATCTTTTTCTTAGAGATGTGGGCCTTACATTATCTATTTGCTGGGGGAAATGGAACATTGCTTGGTTATGAAGCATGGATTTCATTTCCAAATATCATATTCAATTCTGATACAAGGCAAGGAGAAAGAGAACCCCCCTGGCATTGAGTGCAAAACGAGGGTTGAGAGTGGGAAGCCAGGAGACGAGCTAGGAGGTCATGGCATCATTCCAGTGAGAGGAAGATGGAAAGGACATTTCCCAAACCAATGAAGTACTGGCTCTTCAGGCCCTGAGGCTGCAGCAGGGAAGGAAGCAGACAAGATAGGGTCCGACAGATGCACTGGCAGGGAGGGGTGACAGAACGGAAAAACCATCCAGAGCTTGAGGAATTGAAAGAGGTTAGGCCTAAGCTTGCTAATTTTGCAGTGGGGGTCACTGTGAGCATTGATGGGATAAACATGGATTCCCTGGGACAAACACAGAGTCCAAGGAGGAAAGATGTAAGGATGTGCAGGTGGCCCAGATGTGGCCCAATCCTCTGGTGTAGGGATCCTAGAGTAAGAGTCAGGCTGTGGGGGACTGGGGCAGAGCTGCCTGGGAACAGCCAGAGAGAGTGGGGGCAAGAATAGAGGGGCCCCCATTTCAGGCTGTGACAGAGAAACCTGATGATTCCTGAAGGAAATGGCCTTAAAAGTGACCAGGAAGGTTGAGCATCCCCCTGTGATGTATCCCCTTGATACTTTCTGCTCTTTGAGGACCTTGGCGCGCTCTAGATAAGACCACATGTTACCAGGAGACAACTTCCCTCCCAGCAAGGCAATGAGGCAGCTCCTGTCCCTGGAGCATCTGGAAGGCATTCCTCTGCTGCCACCAAGTGGCTGGGACAAACCCGAAAGCTGGGAGCTGCAGACGGAGGCTGGGCTGCCAGATCCTTCACGCAGTCTTGGGACTCTGAGCCTCCCAACCAGGTGGCAGGAAGGCCCCTCTTTATAAGGTGACCCCCTTCTCATGGGACAGATTTCCCTTGTCATCTGTTCAGTGGCACTCCCTGCTTCCTCCTCAAGGGTGGGCAGCACAGTGGAAGAGCTGTCAGGCTCTGCTCAGTCATTAAGGTGGCACACACCAAGCTTCCTGCAGGCACAGCCCACAGCAGGGTTACCCAAGGCCCATGTGCCTTCCCTCCTGCTATTGGCACCAGGGAGTCACAGGGCCCTCTGTGCTCTCTTCCTGGTTACTACCTGGCTAGCCCATTTCCCTGAGAATCTTCATGGCCTTCCCACATGACCTTGTCACTGTGACCTGCCTCCTGGACTATCTAAAGCTACTCTCAAGTCAAAAAGGAGCCATTTCTGATTCCTTGGGCCCCTCTGCCAATGCCCAGCCTGGGGTGGCCTCTCCCTAACCTGCTAGGGCACCTACTGAAGGTGGGCCTTTATTATATCCTCACCACAACTTGCCTCTGTTTGACATTTTCTGAGATGAAAACTTACATTAAAATATTTTGCAGCAGGCCTAGGAGCTCACCTTAATGCCAGTTCACACTGGGTTCTTCTTGGAATGCAGGGCTGCTCTATTGATAATGATCCATGGCCACTGGGCATTTTCTTCTGAATTGAGTTTTTTTGGTCCATGGTCCAAAGCATGAAGCTTCTCCTCTCCCGTCACCCCACACCCCACTGCAGCTCCTACAAATATGTTTTCAGGTTTTTGACATGAGATGGCAGCAATAGAGAGGGTCTGTGAAGACAGAAGGCCCTCCCAGACTCTGCCTCTCTCCAGGATCTCCCATTTTTAAATTTTTTTTTTAGTTGTAGATGGACACAATACCTTTATTTTATTTTATTTTATGTGGTGCTGAGGATTGAACCCAGGGCCTCACCCATGCAGGCAAGCATTCTACCACTGAGCCTCAATCCTGGCAGGATCTCCTATTTTTAAAGAATAAAAAGCAGCCATCCCATGGAACCTGCTCAGCTCAAGGTCTTTAATGACTTCCCAATGTCAAGGCCATGACTGGGCAAACTCACCCTCTTTTCCTCTGTGCTTGCTTCAGACACATGGCCCTTGAAGTTTCCATTCCCTGTCTGGCCTCTGTTGCAGTGCACACTGTCCCGGTGATGTCACCCATACAATGATGCTCCTGGAATTTCTCTCTAGTCAGGAACTTTGCTGTGAGCTCTCTATTCCTATAGCCACTGACCTACTTGACATTTTCATAAGGATATCCTGAGTATCATTTGGATCCACCTAAACCCTTGACTAAGAATGGTCCACCCTGTCCCCCAAACCTGCGTCAGTCAGGCTTCCCAGCTCAGTCATCCCTGGCTCCCCGCTCTCCCTCACCATCCCCTTGAGCCTATTGGTTTTGCAGGGGCCTGGGGTGAGGTTTGAAGATCTCACTGCTGCACTCACTCACCCAGTAGGAGGTGAAGCCTGAGCTATGCCCCAGGGCCAAGCAGGAGGAGGCTTTCTGTGGGCAGCCCAGAACCTCTGTGTGGGTCAAGGGCAAGAGCCTCCAGGAAGGAGATCAAGTGTACTGAGGAGGGTGTGATCTGGGGTGCAATGGCCATGACCCTAGGAGGATCCCAAGTCTCTGCCATTGACCACCTTATCCAGTGTTTCTGCACTTCAGCAGGTGGCTGGTTTGCTCTACCTGTAACTATGCAGTAAGAGGTGTAACAGCTGGGAAGGTGAGGAGAAAGTGGCTCTCGCCATGCATGCTTGTGTTTGAAGTACACCGTGGAGGTTAAGTGTGGGAAAAGGCTGGCCCTCCACTTATCGGACACCTCAGGTCCAGAAAGCAGTTACCAAGGGGTGGCTACCTCAGGCCGAACGGGATCCTCAATGCCCACGACAGCTATGCAGGTGAGGTCACCCACCACCTCATTCTCGTTGTCCCAGTCGGGCTCCTGGCCTGCAGAGAAGTCTCGGTAGGCGATGCAGATGGTACGGAGGCCGTCGCAAGCCATTGGCTCAATGATCTTCTTCACCATGTCATCCCGGTCCCGAGGACGAAAACTTCGGAGTTCACCATTGCTGTTTAAGATGTTGGTGCACCTGGGGCAAGGGGAGGGGTGGTGGAGTGAGGTGGAGACAGGGAGAAAACAAGAGGAAGCAGCACTAGTCACAGTGGAATAGGGTGGGACTTTAGCCAGTGTCCAATGTCCTTATATAGATAGCAGAGGACACAGAGACACACAGACAGGGGAGGAGGCCATGTGACAACAGAGGTAGAGACTGGAGTAATGCAGCTGCAGGCCAAGAAGCATGGAGGATTGTAGCCACCACCTGAATCTGGGAAAGGCAAGCAAGGATTCTCTCTTATAGCTGTCAGAAGGAGCACAGCCCTGCCTATACCTTGACATTGGACTTCTGGCCTCCAAAACTGTTGTTTTAAGCCAGCAGGTTTGGGGTCATTTTTTCCAGAAGCCTCTGGACACACATACATTAGAGTTGGCTGAGAGACCCCCAGTTGGCAGGTGGGAACTCCTGGCTTATGGCAGTTCTCCCATGGACTCCACGGGACAAGGAGGAAGATCATCAGGAAAAACCAAATGCCACAGACTATCAGTTGTAACCACGGAATGGGAAAAGCAGCAATCTCAGTCCAAGCTTTGATGGACCCAGGTGCTTCTCAGAATAGATATGACTGGGAGGATTCAGCTAAAGACAGGTGTGATAGAAAAAGTGAATGGGCTTAGGAGGTAGGTACTACAGGGACACTGATGAAGCAGGAACTGGTTGTCAAGACAGAAGGAAATGATAACAAGAGCTGGCACAGACTGATGTCTTCCTAGGAACACGGATTCACTTATGTCATTCTCACAACACTCCCAGGAAATAAGTTATCAGGGGAAACTGTGGTGGCCATGGAGAGTGGAAGTAATTTGCTCATGTTCACATGGCCAGCAAAGAGTAGAGTCAGGTTTGGACTTCAGGCTCTGCTATAGAATTTGGGTTTTCAGCCACAGTGGCCATCAAAAGAGAAGCCCAGAAAGAGGTCTAGGCCCTGAAGTCCAGCCTCCACTACCAACCCATCAGGGCTTCAGGGAGGATGTGGTTTTTGCCCTGGGTTGCAGTGTCTGTGCCTGGACTATTTGGGGCTCACCCGGTGATCAGGTCTGCTGAGAACAGTGGGCAGGCTGAGCCTGGGGGTGCAAGAAACCCTAGGCTTCCCAGGGGGGAAGTATGGGAGGATCCAGGTGGGTGGGGCAGAAGGAATGGGGAAAAGAGAGAGGCCAAGGCCAAAGGAAAGTGTATAGACTGAGAAAGGGCAGGGGGAGCAAGGGTGCTTGGACGCAAGGCTGCATGCTCCCTCTTTCTGTTTTGTTAAGCAGCTTTATTCACATACCACACAATTCACCCATTTAAAGTGTACAATTCAATGATTTTTAGTGTATTCATAGATACATACAAGCATCACTACAGTCAACTTTCAAACATTTTCATCACTTCTAAAAGAAACCCAACAAAAATAACAGTAGCAAAAATAGATAAATTGAACTTTATCATAATCTTAAAACATCATGTGTCTAGGGATACTCTCAATAGTAAAAAGAACTAACACAATGGGAAGAAATATTTATAAATCCGATACCTGATAAGGATCTAATAACCCGAATATATAAAGAACTCTTAAAACTAAGTAATAAGAACACAAACAGACCAACTAAAAAATGGGCAAAGGGCTTCAATAGACATTTCTCTAAAGAAGTCCTAAACTTGTCACTAAACACTTGAACAAATTCTCAACAGCATTAGTCCTTAAGGAAATGCAGATCAAAACCACCATAAGATACCACCTCACATACACTAGGATGACCATAATAATAACAATAAAAGGAGAGAATAACAAATATTTGGAAGGATGAGGAGAAGTTAGAATTCTTCTACTTAGCTACTTGGAACATCAACTTGTGGAGTCAATTTGGAAAAAAAAAAAAACATAGTTATAATATGACCGGGCATGGCACTCCTAGGTAGACATGATGGTTAATTTTAGTGACAACCTGACTGGATTGCAGGATGCCTAGAAAATTTGTGCCAAGAAGTGGGTCCTCGCTGTGATTACACCTGTCAATGTAGAAGAACATTGAGAATGGGTGGGAGGAGTTTGGAAAGTTTGAAGGAGCAGGCTAGGAAAGGCCAGAATGCTATAAGCACAGCTTCGTGGGCAATTCTCCTGGGAGCTCAGAGGACCAGAATGCTAAGGGAATGCAGATAGTAAAAACTGTGCTCATAAAGTTTCATATGGAAACAAGGGCTCCACTGGAAATGGTACAGGGGACCATCCTTTTTTACATTATGACAAAGAATTTGGCTGCATTTTGTCTATGTCCTGAGACTCTTTGGGAGGCTGAGTTTCAAGGTGAAAAATTAGTTCATGTGAAGGAGGAAACAGCAAAGCATTCAGGATATGGCATGGGTATTTATTCCTGCATCCTTTTTAGCTAAATTTACTGTGAGAATCAGGAGAAAAGAGGAATAGAGTGGAAAGACTTGCAAAACTTGCTGTTTGGCCAAAAAAGAAGTTAGTGTAAAGTTCCAGCCAAAGAGGGTACTGATGTGGTTGCTAGTGCAACTAAAAAGAAGCCAAGTGGATAATAGGAAAGATGCCTAGAGGGAATTGCAGAAATGGAGTGCCATCTCATGCTTAGAAATGTAGAATTATAAATTGGTTTCAAAGAATTTCCAGGACAGAGTCTTTGGAGAAGAAAGCCCCAAGGTGCCATGCTCACCCAAAAGTGACTAGGGATTTATTTCCCTGGAATTTATTTCTCTGTTTTTAGCCAGAGGCAGCTAGAATCATGGTTCAAGTGGGCCCAGATACAGCTCTCACTGGTGCCAGACCTTGGTGTCATCCAGGTGATGCTGGTTCTGCAGGCATGCAGGATGCAAGAGTTATGGAGTCATGGAGGCTTCCACCAAGATTTCAAAGGAAAGCCTGGGAGCCAGGCAGGGTGTGGCAGCATTGGCATCCTTGCAGGCAGTCTCTGCCAGAGCAATGATGGAGCCATGAGAATGAAGCTCATGTTGTAAAGGAGACCCCATGAAGTTAGAGGATGCTAGGAATGCTCAGAGGAAATTGCAGACAGCGTGTAAAGCTAGCTCAAGACAGTGGCCTTGTGGGAAGCAGCCAGCAAAGTTATTAGGATGGGATTGACCAAGCCCTTGGGAGGCACATACTAACGTGGTGTGCTTTGGACACCAGACCTGGAGATTTAGGATTTGCCTCCTGGGTTTTGGTCTTACTTTGGTCTAGACCCTCCATATTATTTTCCTATTTTCCCCATCTTGGAATGAGAATGCTTACGCTGTGTCATTGTATCTTGGAAGAATGTAACTTTCTTTTTTAACTGTATAGGGGCTCTTGACTAAGATTTTGCCCTGAGTCTCAGAGGAGACTTTTTGGACTTGGACTTTTAAGCAAAGTGGGAATAGTTAAGACTCTGGAGATTCATGGAGAAGAATTGAATGCATTTTGTATTGGGAGATGGACATGAGCCACTGGGGGTTAGGGACAGAATGTGTCCCAAAGGCCTATGTGTTAAAAGCTTGGTCCCCAGCTTGGCACTCTTGGGAGGGGTGGGAACTTAGGAAGTAGGGCCTAGTGTGGGGGGGTTAAGTCCTTGGGGCATGCCCTTTAAGGGGATTGTGGGACTGTGGTCTCTTCTTTCTCCTTCTCATCCCAGCCATGAAATAAAGTGACTCTTTGCTCCATCACACACACCTGTCATGATGTACTGTCTTGCCACAGCCCCAAAGGCAATGAGGCCAAGTGATCATGAACCCAAACCTCCAGATCTATAAGCCAAAACAAACCTTTTCTCTTTATAAACTGATTTAGCTTAGGGTTTTGTTATTGTAATGGAAAGCTGACTAAAATGGGATATATCTAAAAGAGTTGAAAATGTGAATTCAAGGGCTGGGATTGTGGCTCAGTGGTAGAGCACTTGCTTAGCATGGGCGGGACCCGGGTTCGATTCTCAGCACCACATAAAAATAAAGGCATTGTGTTGTGTCCATCTACCAAAAAAAAAAAAAAAAAAAAAAAAAGAGAGAGAGAGAGAGAAAGAAAAGATTCTCTCTCTCTCTCTCTCTCTCTAAAAAAAAAATGTGAATTCAAACACAACCTTGTTCACAGCAGCATTATTCACAATAGCCAAAATGTAGAAAAAATCCTAGTGTTTGGCAACAGATGAATGGATAACAAAATTGATCTTATACACACAATGAGATATTAGTCAACCAGCAAAAAGAAATGAAATTATGATACATGGATGAACCTTGAGGACATTATTCTCAATGAAAGAAGCCAGACACAAAGGCCACAAAGTGCATGATTTCCTTTTTTTCTTTGCAATACTGGAGATTGAACTCAGGAGTGCTCTACCACGGAGCCACATCCCCAGACCTTTTGATTTTTTATTTTGAGACAGGTTCTCACCAAGTTGCCCAGGCTGGCCTAAACTTGCCATCCTTCTGCCTCAGTCTCCTGAATAGCTGGGATTATAGGGTGCACCACTGCACCTGGCTGCAGGATTCCATTTATATGAAATGTTCAAAATAGGCAGAGACAGAAATCAGATCAGTGGTTTCCAGGACTGGTGGGGAGATGGACAGTAGCTGTTTAGTGGGTCAGGGGCTCTTTATGGGGCGATGGAAATGTTTGTGAACTCGAGTAGTAACAGTTGCATGACATTGTGAATGTACTTAATGCCACTGAACTGTATACTTTAAAGAGATGAGAATGGTCAATTTTATATCAGGTCTATTTTGCTACAAAAATAAAACAAGAAATCTTGTATATACCCTTAAACTAGCCCCCAGCCACCCAGCCCCTGGCTCCTTCCTGTTGCCCACTCACTTTTTGAGCAGGATTTCCGAGGCCCCCTTGCTGAAGAGGCGGAAGCCGCCGTCAGGCATGCGGATGACCGTGCTCATGGACTTGCGGACTGAGTTGAAGGTGTACACTTTGTAAAGCTTATCTTCTGGAATCTGCTCCCGCACAGGCTGGAAGTCCCGCTTCAGGTCCAGGACAAAGCCCAGCAGAGCACACTCCGTCTTATTGCCCACTTGGCGTGGGAGAGCGCCTTCCTTCTCTGGAGGCTGCAGGGCGAGGAGAGCCAAGATGGCACCGAGGCCAAGAGCACCCTCCATGCTGCCCCCGGGGCCTGGCTCCTGCCCAGTTGTGGCTACCGTGTTTTAGGGTGTGTTGTCAGGGGAGCAGAGGACTGCTCCCCTGACTATGTGGACTAGATGGGCCATGCCCCAGCTGCAAAGTGACCCCTTGCAGGCAGGATTCTCATCATTCACCAGACTTAGAAGGGTCTTCTAGAAGCTGCAGGCCCCACCCAGTAGCCAGAGCACCCTGTCATGTCAGGGACTGAGAGGAGGGTGAACCCAAAGACTCTGCTCAAAAAAAAAATTTTTTTTGGTGATGCTGGGAGTTGAACCTAGGGCCTCATGCATTCTAGGCCTGTGCTCTACCTTTGAGGGGCCTCCAGCCTCTCAGAAGTTCTTAAGGGGGTATAGTCAGCTCTTCAGGATAGCTCATGCCACACCCCAGCCCAGCCCCTTCCCTTGTCCCACAGCAGCTCTGTCAGCCTGCCCTCCTGCTTCAGCTCACTAGTATTTTGGTGGTGTAGGCACTGTTGATGGAGATGGCATGGACCAGGAGGTCAAGGATCTTGGGGGTCAGGGCACTGGGGGCTGGAATCTCTTTGTAGTGGGTATCTCCTAGGTAGGACTGGACCACAGTCATCCGGTTGGTGGTGAGCGTGCCCGTCTTGTCTGAACAGATGGCAGTGGCATTGCCCATGGTCTCACAGGCATCCAGGTGGCGTACCAGGTTGTTGTCCTTCATCATTTTCTGTAAAGGGTATAGATCGGGTGGGGACACTTGTGTTGTTCACTCATCAGGTTAAGGGGAACAAGAAATGGTCAACACAAATATGATGTACTTGTGGTACTAACAGCCCATTGGGAACCCTGATCAGCACTGGGCTATGTGGTGGCTAAACCAAGGGAGCAGGCCTATGAGACAGAAAGACTCTCCTCAAAGAGCTAGCAGTCAGACTTCAGGCAGTCACTCTCCTCAGAGCTCATCTTCTCAGAGGCCCCTCTCAGGTTACCCACTGGCCCTGAGGTTCCCTGATGCCATCCTGACTCTCGCATGCTCTGCCCATAGTCTTCTCATGTCCCAGCGCCTCCCTGTTCCCATCCCCACAAACAGTACTGGTATCTTCACTTCCTAACCCTCTGGCCTCTCTATTTTTGTGTCCCAGAGATGCTAACCCTCAGGTCTACTTCACCACCCACTTGCTCTCTGGCTTATCTCATTGTGCCCAGGGATCCAGGTGGGGAACGCCCCTGAATACAGCAAGTCCCTCTGTATCAACAGATCTGCAAAGATGCCCCTTGGTCCCCACTCAATGCCTTCCCTCCTCCCCAAGGTGTACCCAACCTCCCCTAGTCCTCAATGCAGCCCAGGTGCTTGCTGAAAGCCCACAACTGTAAACACTATTATTACCTTGACAGAGTAAGCCAAGGAGATGGTGACAGCAAGAGGCAGGCCCTCAGGGACAGCCACAACCAACACAGTGACACCGATGATGAAGAACTTCACGAAGTACTGCACATAGACGGGCGTGCACTCTGCCAGCCACACCCGGCCATCCACAACGAAGGTCTCAATCACAAAGTAGAGGACCAGGATGATGACAGTGATGGCAGACATCACCAGCCCTGTCCGGTCATGATGGAGGCCACAGAGGGTTGGGGAGGAAGAGGGCCACCATAGTTGAGAAGGAGAGAGAAAGAGGGAAGAAAAGGTAAGGGACACTGTGGCTGTGGCCAGCTCAAAGCAGATTTGGTTTGAGTTTTGGGATAAACAGCTGGGGGGATGGCTCAGTGGGGGCAGAGAAAGGCCTGTTTGCATAAGAGCTTGAGATGTTCTTTGGTCAAGTCCCCTAAGACATGTGGAAAGGAGAACAGAGAGCCTATGTCCAATGGCATGAGAGGCACAGCTGTAGGGACTGGCTAGGTTTGGCCCACCCTCAGAAGTTAAGAGTTCCAGCCAGTAGGCCCTCGATACTGCTGGCTGCCTTTTGACCATGCCATGGGCAGAGCATGCTGGGTAACAGGTCAGCTTGTGATTTGGGCCTTAGGGAAGGGTTTGGAATCCATGCTTACTGGGGAAAGTTGGGCCAGACCCTGATGGCTCTAGCTGGCCTCTGGCTGCCTGGCCCATACCACCTGCAATATCTCTTCATCCTGACTGTACATGTCATGATTCCATCTCCAGGATCCCAGAGTCCCTTATGCATGACTGGTGGCCCCTGGCCTGCCACCTCTGGCTGTCCCTACCTGCTTTTCCAATCTGCACAGCCAGTTTCGTGAGCTTCCCCTGTAGAACTGACTTCTCCTTCTTGGGCACGTTGGCTTTCTTCTTCTCTCGCTCCTCCATCTCCCCACCCTCTGCGCTCTTCAGGGGCTGCATTTCCATGGCAACTGCCCCATCCTGCTTTTTAGCTGCACACAGAGGAATACCATGGCCAAGGTTAGGGCACAGCCAGGATGAAAGAGCTACAAGGGGCTATCACAGGGGAAGACATGCCATACCATTCAAAATGAAATGGAATTCACTGTGGGTTCTTTTATATAATCCCAAGCTTAACATGGCAAAAGGGAGTCTATTGACCTCCCCCATCTTGCTGCCTAAGGTCAGACCCTCCTAAGGTGGCTGGACAGCTCCAGCACTGTGCTAGGTAGGAGAGAGAAATGGTTCTCTCATGGAAAGGGAGGACAGACACAAGAACAAGGTACTTGGGCACACAGACAGGTGGCCAGTCCTGGAATGCCCCAAATCTCAATACCTGAGGAGAGGTCTGTGGTCCAAGGAATATTCCAGAACCTGAGGTTGACTCATCTGCTCACTGGTGTACAAGCCACCTCCCTGCTCCACTGGGAGGCTTAGGGGCCCTGGTGGACCCTCCTCCTATCCCAGCCACCCCTGCTCAGTCTGTCTACTCCCACTCGTATGCTCTCTGGGCTGCAGTAGGCAAGCTTTTTCTGACCCTCCAACTGCCTCCCTGCCTCCCTGCCTCCCTGCTGGAGCAGAGGACTCCCCTTCCCCTCCCCCCTCCTTCCTCATCCTTGCTGTGCTTGATATGGTGGTGGTATGTCCCCACCCCACGGCTCCTCATTTTCCTCTTTGCCAAGCTCTGGCCTCACGCACTCCCTGAGCTCCAGGGTCTTCAGCTGCATTCCCAAAGTAATCATGTCTACTCTACTTGCTACCTTCACTCTTCCTCAGGGAGGGGCTAACTGACCCAGCAATTGGGGGTTCCCTGCTTGTCTTTATCCCCCATCACTCTGTCTCCCATGCAATGGGGCTCTTTGCATACAGCCATCACCTCTGTATCCCCCCTCCCCACCTTCTAGCCCAAGGCCACTCACCATAGTACCTTCCTCTCAGTAGCCTCAGGGATATGCCAAGTCCTGCCCAGCTGGGCCACTTCTATCCTTGTACCCCAACTACTGTCATGCTCCCATAGCCCTTCCCCAAATTCCCTCCCAACTTCAATTTTATCCTTTCAGCTCCAGTTGGCTTATCTGATCCAGTGTCAGTCCCTAGGTCCCTGGGTGAGTAGATACCATACTTGCTTGAGAAGGTCCATCTCTTGTACCACGACCTTCCTGAGGTCACACTTCCAATACCCAGAACTGACTGCTGATTTGACTTGGATTGCTTCTTCTCCTTGGGCTGCCATCTGCTGTCCAGCCACAGAGTGCCAGAGCCCACTAGGGACTCATGGCTTAGAGGAGAGCTGGGCCTCTGCCCATTGGAGGGTTGCTCTGTCACCCTGGTCCACAGGGTCAGTCAGAAGGAAGCTGACATGGGAAACCCACAGGACCAGGACCAGAGCTTTGGGAAAGTCAACTTCTTTGTATATCAGGTTCCTTCTCTGGCCAGAGGACCCAGGGTGCCTAGCCACAGATTATCTTTATGCACAGATCTCAGGTGCATAATGGCCAATAGCTCAGGTGTCTGCTAGCCAACATCTAGGTGGTTGGTCTGGGCTTCCAGAAGTGTCTGTGGATGGGAGGCTCAGAGCAGCCCTAGGGGGTGCTCCTCCATTCTCAGGCCAGGGCAGGACCATAGAGTTCACTCACCTGGTCTCTTGGTGCTGCTCTTGCTCCATTGGTGGGTGGCCCCTCCCACACACCCACTCTACCCAGCCCCAACCCCCAGGCTCCTCAGCTGCCCTTAGCAGCGCTGCGTACACATTACCTCTGGTCTGGCTACTGTCCATCGCCCCATCTTGCTGCTTTCCTACAATGGAAGAGGAATGACAGACACGGAGACTTGAGAACATCCATATGGCCAAGACAAACAGACATGCACAGGACAGTAGGCAGAGCTGGAGCACAGAGAGTGCAGCCTGGAACCACGTGGGATGGGCGGGAGGAGGATGCGTCTAATTGCTGGTGGCTCTGATGCTGCCCACAGAGAGACCTTCTCCATACCTTGTACTTTCCAGGCTCACTCTGCCACCACCTCCCAGAATGTGGTTACCACACAAAACCCAGGGCCAGGGCTTCCCACTGAGCCTTGACTCCAGGCATACAGTGAAGCCTTGAAGGCAGACTAGATGATTCCTGAGTCACATGAGAGAGCAGTGGGAAGTTTCTGAAAGGACTGCTGTCTTGAGAAGGGCCTTCCCACAGCGCTGACCACATCTGAGGGCTGCACGAGGTAGGTGGCAGTTAGGAGGGCTATCCTGGGGGCCATACCTACGCTGGCCCCAATCCAGAGGGGAACTGACCAGGGCAGGAGGGACTTGATCTATCAGTCACCACAAAATAGCTCATGTCATTGGGGATCCAGGGACACAGACAAGGTGCTAGGTGGATCCTAGGCAGGGGGATTGGGATCTGGGATCCCCCAAAAGCATGGCAAGATCCTCCTTCTATCCAGAAGTGGAACATAGATTGGGGCCTCTGTCCAGGGCTCCTGTGGAGGCTGAGGATAGTTCAGAGGTAAGGGAGATATCTGAGGTGGAGGGGAAAGAGACACCCATAGACATAGGATGACAGTAAGATGATAACACAGCACAACAAGGGCAGGCACTGCTAGAAGCCCTGGGGTTGTGAGGGCCCAAAGGAAGGAGAGACTATAGGGCAGGGCTGGGGTTGTGGCTCAGCAGTAGAGTGCTCGCCTAGCATGTGCAAGGCCCTCAGTTCAATCCTCAGCACCGCATAAGAATAAATAAACAAAATAAAGGTATTGTGTCCAACTACAACTAAAAAATAAATATTTTTTAAAAAGGCAAATGGCAGCAAGTGGACAGGGGGCACTTTTGGAGTACGCCCAACAGACTGGGTTGACTCATAGGGAGTCAATGAGGCAAGGAGAGGGGAGACATTGGGCATGGTGGCTGCTGCTCCCCCTTAGGGCCCATCAGGGTACCCCTCCTCAAAGAAGCTCTAGCCACTAAGTTGCACAGCCTATTGGTGCTGAAGAGAGTGGGATAAAAGGTCCTGGTAGGGGTTGGAGGGGGTCTGTTTATGTTCAAAGAGGAAGAGCCTAGGACCCAGCAGTGAAGGACACCAACATTTAAGGGACAGAGCAAGAGGCCAGGATTCTGCAAAGGAACCACAGGGGAATCTTTTCTTTCTCTCTGAGGACCAAAGGAGACTCTGGCCACGCTTGCAGGGCAGCAGACTAGCTCTGTGCTAGGGAGGATACGACCACTATGGAGCTGAGCTCTCTGAAGTTATTTGTCCTTTGACACTGCTGTCCCTAGGACAAGGGCCATCACCCATTATGATCTGGTCCCGCCCCTATCCCATCCCAGCATCCTGTGATCCTGAATGTCCTTTCACAAATCCTATCCTTTCTACTATGTCTTCTTTGCTGTGCTTAAGAGTCCTCCACCTCTGAGTTCATGACCCCTATTTCCCTGGCTGTTGTATTGACCCCCGATTCTTGACATTTTATTGTGTATTCACTGTTAAGGGTATAAGGGCTGAGCACCCTGAGGGTGGTCATTAAGCTCCTAGAGCATCCAGTGAAGCCAACGAGTCTAGCCCTGTGTCCCTCTGACCTCATTCCTGTCCAGGCAGAGCATTCCAAAGCCTTCAGGAAGCAGCCATTCCAGGGAAGCTGCCCTTACACAGATTTGGAGGGGCCCCTGGCCTGCTGACTTTGGGGGATAAAACCCTAGAAGAAGGATTTCCAAGAAAAATCAGAAGAGAGGACATAGCCTGTCATCCTTTGAGGGCTGGATCTCCTGGGAGCCTGGGACTGGCCAGCAGGAGACTGCTGATAGGCAGACAAAGAAGAACAGTGCCCCACTGTCCCTGTCAGCACTAGAAACTAGAAGTCAGGGTTGCCTTACCTTTCTTATCTTTTTTCTCCTCCTCCTCTCCACCAGCTCCAAGCAAGGTAAAGATAATGCCTGTCTGGGAGTTTACACCAACGGCCGTTACCACCATTCTTCCAGAACCTTCCATGACATGAGTGCCTAACACAGCAATACAGAGAGACTGAGACAGAGATTTGCACCACCTGGTGAGAGACATGTTCAGTGCCTACATGAGGGTTCCCAAGGAATCCCAGAGGCAAGAACTCATCATTCAGAGGCTGCTACAGTTGTATTGACCGAAATCCTCAGCTGGCTCAGAGGAAACCCATAGGCCCAGAGGGGTAGGTACTTGGCAGAAGCCTGGGTGAGCCATTCACAGGGGGCTCTGACCAGGGGGCTCTGGCCTTTCTGTCCAGTTTCACACTGCATTTCCCCTTGGGATAAATGCTAGGCTAAGTCAGAACCTTCTGGAAAAGGAACACTTGCCTCTTTTGGATCTCCTTGAAGGTCTAGATTTGGGAGAAGTGCTACTTTGATCCCTATGAAATTTCCTCCCCATTCAGGACTACCAAGGGTCTTTTGGAGCCCTGTGGCTGTAGGTACCACCATCAGTTCTCCAGTGGCCCACTCTGGCTTTGTGATGGGTGCAGTCCTCAAACCCCCTAACTGGAAAACCTATTTAGGGAAATTGCCCTCTTGAGGTGAGTCTGGCAAATGGCTTCAATGGGGATATTGGGACAAATGGCTTCCAATCTGCTGACTTCAGTGGGCTGGTTGGGAAGGCAGCCCTTACCTGAAAGCAGCATAGGGTCTTTGTCAGCTGACTTGCGCACATGATCCGACTCGCCTGTCAGAGAGCTCTCATCGATCTTCAGGTCGTTTCCCTGGATGAGCACGCCATCGGCAGGCAGCAGGTCTCCTACAGGTCCACCCCGAGCCAGAACCAGAGGCTGTGGGTCCAGGGGACCTTTCTCCCCACCACCTCCTCCCGGCTCTCCCAGGAAAGGTCCCTCTAGACATGATGAGCCAGGTGGTCAAAGGAGTCGAAATCCCTCTTCTTTCAGTCTCCTCCTTTGTGGGGGAGGGAACCACCCACAACTAGCCATGTTGTCCAGCTTGCAGCGGATAGGGTCAACATTTCCCTCCTGCAGTAGTGGGGGGCTGTGGAAACAGTCTGCTTCTTGGGGTGTGATTACATCTCTAATATTCCCTTTCCATGCTGCCTCACGCCCCCTGTGGGTGAAAGCACCTGTGTACTGGGGACAGCCTGCACGGGGGTGTCCTGTGGCCCATGCTTCTTGGAAATGGGAGTCAGGCTTCCTTGGTGGGGTGGGTGAAGATTGGCACACTCACCATACTTGACCTGAGCGATGTCCCCCACCACCAGTGCAGCCACAGGGACCTGGAGGAGCTGCCCATTCCGGATGACTGTGAACTTCTGCTCCTGCTCAATGCGGCTCTGCAGGCCTCGAAACTGCTTCTCCTTGCTCCAGTCATTAAAGGCCGTGACAAGCACCACACAGATGACAGACAGCAGGATGGCGGCCCCTTCGATCCAGCCAGCCTCAGCCTCCCCCTCATCTTCTGCCCCACCTGATACATTCCCGCAGGCTTTGCCCAAGGAGAGAAGGGAAGAGGAAAAGAAGTTACAGAGCCAAGCCCAGGTGGGACATCTTAGGACCCTGCCTCCACTCCTTCCAGCCCAGAGCCCTTCCCCTCACCTTCACTCTCCTCTCCAGGAGGTGCATAGAAGGAGAGGCCCAGGGAGACGATGGCGGCCACCTCCAGGATGATGAGGGTCACATCCTGCAGGGCCTCCCACACCAGCTGCAAGAAGGTCTTGGGCTGCTTGGGAGGGATAAAGTTCTGCCCATAGATCTGCCTGCGCTTCTCCAAGTCGTTGGTGCTGTCCGCCAGTCCTGCACAATTCCCAGGAGGGCAGTAGAAGCACAGAGGGAAAGGATGAGAAGGCCAGCTTTAGTCCTAGGAACCCCCAAGAGGCCCTGCCTGACCTGCTGCTTTGGGGGTCTCTGGCTGGGCTGCCTCTCCCTCTAGACTCTATGGTTGTGGAAGGCAGGAACTGTGCAGACATGGCACCATGAGCCTTTCTGCAGACCTTTGGGGCCAAGCACGTGGGAGTGAGTGTGTGGCTCTCCACAGCTAGCTTGAGAAAACCCAGTCTAAGGAAGGGATGCAGGGCCAGGCAGAGGGGCTACAACTTCCTCCTGATACACACATGAGTAAAGCTGTTTTGTGCTCCATCCAAAATGTCTCTGAGTGGGGCTTTGCAAGAAACTGACGGTTAAGGCCTAACAAGTGAAAAGCACAGAGGGGCCCATTAGGGCCTAGTATGGACCAGGGTTTCCCAGAAACAGGAATAAAAGAGAGCAGCAAGCAGCTCCCTAGGAAAAGTAAGAATCCAGATAGCTTCAGTGGGTTCTTGGGAAGGTTACCAGTCAAAAGGGTGTGGGTGACATTAGCCTGGTTTCAACTGGATGCCAAAGAAGTTACCAGAACCCTTTCTGAAGTAGGGCTTTCTTCCTGTCAGGAAAGATCTCTCTAGCTCCAAACATGGATTCCCTGTCTTCTTCAGAGCAGACTAGTCACTGGGCCCCACATAGGTCTATAAGATGAAAATGTGCTTTTGGGTCATGGACATCCTAAGAGCAGAAAAGCCAATGGGCCTTGGCCATAACCCTACTCCCATGGTCTGCTGGTCCCAGAGAATGTAAGGTCTCGCAGCCTAACTTGAAAGGGAGCAGGGCGTGGAGGCAACCAGGAGCACATGCACAGCCAGGGCCCAGGGACATGGGAATCTCTGGAACCACAACTGCTGAGGAGGACAGAACAGCCACTGGAAACAGGGAGTGGAAGCCTGATTTCCAGAAGTTTCTTAGGAAAGGAACAGAGAGGGGGAATATGAGAGCTAGTGGGAGATGCAAGTTCTTGGGTGCAGACAGGGGGACCAATAGTGGCTTATGAAGAGAGAGACCCAGGAAACCAGGTTGAGGGACAGGGTGGACAGGGGAGAAGCAAAGCCAGAGTCCCAGTGGTAAAGCCTTGCTTGACCTCACCATGGTGGGCAGCATCATATGCTCAGCCATGCCTGGGGACCTGGGCCCCTGGGCTGGGATGGGTGGGGAGCTTATCATTTGGGAGGAAGGTGCCCTGCCCATCACAGTCTCAATGAGGCAGACGAGGCTGGAGATGAAAAGGGGTCTGAGTCCATGAGTTAGAATTCTTTTTTTTCCTAAAGAGATTCCTTTTTTTTTTTTAAAAAATGGGCCTTTATTTTGTCTATTTATTTATATGCAGTGCTGAGAATCGAACCCAGTGCCTCACATATGCCAGGCAACTGCTTTGCCACTGAGCCACAACCCCAGCTCCAAGTCGGAGTTCTTGACTACAGGCCAGGTCAGGTTGAGGGAGCCTCCCAGATGTTGAGCTTCCAGGACACAGGAATGGTGAGAGGCTAAGCAAGGACCTGGTGCCCATGAGGTGTGCAAGGAGACAGCTGCCTCATTCACAACACCTCTCCCAGAGCCTGGCTGTAGTGCCAACCTTAAGCCCAGGTTAAGGGGTAGGACGTGGACTCCCACTGCCTCCTCTAGAACTGGGAGGCTGTGTGCACACATGGAGACTTGAATTATGGGCAGAGCCACGTTTAGTTTTCTTAGAAGCCCCACAATTGGCCTTGGCTTCACAATGACAGCTACCTTTCCTAGTCCAATTGTCATCCATCATCCCTAAAGACAAGAGGTGGGGATGCTGGGAGATCATCAGTTATTTGTGATAATGGCACATTATCAGCAGGCAAAGGACACTGAGGGGAGGGAACCAGTTCTGGTGGGGGACCCCTTTAGTCCTAAGCAGCTGAAGCTCCTTAATTGATGTAGGCCCAGGGGCTCAGAGGTACTCCACTCATGGCTCTAGAGCCCTTCAGGCTACCTCCACACCCTGAGCAAGTTCTTGTGGGCTGGGATACACAATCTCCTCGGGCCCATTTAGGCTTGGCATCCAAGCCATGGGCCTCTGAGCCTGCACACCTATTCAGAGGTAGGCAGGTAAGATGATTCAACCCCCTGCCTTTAGCCCTCAGGATTCTCAGTCCAGGCTGATCCAGCCCCTCCTTGAGTTCCCACAAATCGTCAGTGCTGCGCCCCCAAAGTGCCCAACCCCACAGTGACACCTGGTGGACAGACAGCAGCTTATGGCTCCTGGCCCAGAGTGGCTGGCGTTAACTCCTGCCACCTGCTGCATGGACAGGAGGTGAGCAGAAGGGCCATCCGGTCCATGGGGCCCTCACTGGGCAGTGAGCTTGGGAAGGCTCAGCCCCAGATGACTCGAGAACAAGAAGTGCTGACGATGGGGCTTATGCAAAGGGGCAGGGTGAGGCCCATTCGAGATGGAAGGGCCAACAAGAGCAAAAGCCGCAGCCTACACAGCCTTGGCACATCCACCCAGCTAGGCGATGGCCACACAGTGTCCTTCCCACTCAGAAGGGCCACAGCTGTCCCTGCCTTTCTTCTCATGGCCTCATGGTGCCTGGGCCCAGCTGGTGGCTCAGATTTCTGCCAGGGCCAAAGGCCTCTTTCAGAAGGCTTGCAGCTTCTCCAGTAGGACGTCTGGGAGAAAATCCAGACCTCAGCTTCTGTGGTGCCAGGGTAGCGGACTGGGTAGGGTAGGGGGCTGAGGCCAGGGATTTAGCTGAGAGACATGTCCATCACTCTGGACAGGGCCTTATCTTCTTTACCTATAGGAACTATGAGAGATGCCCCAGGAAGGCAGCAGGAGCCTCCCACATACCTGGGGTTTCTACTGCTCCTGGCCTGGAGCTTCCAGAGTGAGACCAAAGTCCCCTGAAGCCTGTAGGTCCCCAAAGCACCATGTGAGTCTGCCTCCTGCTGTCCTGATGCACATGCCTGGATTGTCCCCAAGGGCAGTGGGCCCTTGAGCCCCTTTCCTGGAGGTCCCTTCCCCTTCCCCCACCTTGCCCTTGGCCTTGATTTGCCCTTGCTACTGCAGCAATTCTCTCCCATTGCCTGAAACCAGCAGCTGCCCTCAGACTGGCCCCTTTCCTGTGGGATTGGGGGTCCTAACAGCTGCCGCTGCTGCCACAATACTCATTGTGGTGGGGGGTGGAGGCAGCTGAGGCCCCTCTGGTTCTGAGCACATGCCTGCCCAGCAGGCCCTAGGGCAGCCTGGGTCCAGGGCATGGGGGCAGGGGCCTGCTGGTTGGCATGGACACAGATGGGCCGTCTGCCCAGAGCAGAGGCCAGATGCCATCAGAATTGGATTAGGACCACATCGTGTTGGCTCTCAGCTAATCTGCCCCCTCCTTCCCATGACTGCCTGTGGAGACCAGACAGGGGAGGGCATGGGGCCCTAGAAAGTCTATCACTGAGGTTCTCTGACAAACATGAGCAGCTTTCTTCAGGACAGGTTCTGGAAGCCTCTTGGATCCCTACAAAGACTGAGAAGGCAGTGGATTGATACGCTGATTGCCAGTAGTCACAATCCCTCTCTCCCAACATTCCACACACCTATCTGGCCTCCCTCCTCCCCATAAAGCCCCTCCTGGCACCCCCACATCTTCCCACCCTGCCAGGGGGTTGATGTGGAGCCAGCCCCTCCTACAGCTCAGGCCACTGTCTCTGATTTGGAATGAGCAGTTGAGCCTGGGTGAGAACTTTTGGCCAATCCAGTAGGCCTACTGAAAACTTCATGCTTTCCTGTGGCTCATGGCCTGGCTGAGGGGACAAGGGGAGTGAGAGACACCTGCTCCTAGCATCAGACAGCTGAAGCCTGAGCAGCTTGTGAGGAGGGACTGGTTCTCAGGCTGCTTCATTCTGCAGGAAGAAGAGCCAGGCCTCGTGGCTCCCTCCATTGGGGCTACAGGGACACAGGTGCTCAGAAGCATGTCAGGGGCTGGGCCACCCACCTGCACACCTGCCCTTCTTTACACCCACCCCCTCCTCAGACACCAGGCAAGATCCTGAGCTCTGTGGCAGAATCAGGAAGGTTCCCAGGGGCCTTGACATTTTAAATATTTAACAAGGCCTGACGGGCAGAGGGAAGAGCTGCCAGCTGAAGCCCATCTGCTTCCTTTGATCTGGGAGAGGCCAGAGCCCTTGTGGCTAAATGGCCCTCCACCCTGGCCTCCTCTGAGGCCCCAAGTCCTCAGGGGGGTGGGCAAGGAGGAGGGAAGGAATGAGATCCTTTGGCACAGAGCCCAGCCATCTGCCCTGATAGCATGCTGCTCCAGGCTGGTGCGTGCGGTAGGTGGGACAGGGTGTCCATGGGTACAGGGAGACCTAGGTGGCCCAGGGAGGCCACTCCACCATGGAATTCCTCACCTGCCCTATGGGCTTCCTTCCTTCTACCTCTGCTTTTCCCCTGGGCCCATGAAGACAGAGTGAGCTTTCTGAAGCCCAGCTAGGGTGAGATCAGAGCACCAGGATCCTATTTGTGCCCTAAAGTCTGAGTGGGGGGTGAGGGCAGAGCAAGGAGGCTGAAAGTGATGGGCCATGCCTAGACCAGAGTAGAGGCAATGGTCAGGAGGGAATGCGTCAAGAGATTGATTTATAAACTAGAGTGGGCAGCGCCTGGTGATGGATGGGTCAGGGGTGCCAGAAAGTAGGAGGAACCTAGGGTGACAGCCAGGGATAGCAGCACTGGGTGGGCCAAGGTGCCGCCACTGAGACAGGCAGCTGATGAAATCAATCAGTGCTGGCTGGGGAGCAGGCCTGGCATTGGGCTGGGCTAGCCCTGGCAACCCTGCCAGCCCAGTGCCAGCTGGACCAGAAAGTGCTCCAGCTCCTGGAATATGGGGCTGTGCCTGGCTCCTGGGTGGTCCCTGCCTCGTGGCAGACCCCAGCAGGGCTGAGGCAGGCCACACAGGGAATGACAGAGCTTTGTCTCCCGCAAGGGGAGGTGGGGTTCCAAGATGGCAGTCAGGTCTCTATCCCAGACTCTTCTAGAGGATGCTCACTAGGCTTCCTAGAGGCTCACTGTGGCACTGCCTCTCTGGGACTGCCTGTGACCACTGTCGCTTCCAATCAGCATTATGGGCCTACTGTGCCCTAGCTTTGGCCATCCCTTCCCACCAGACTCCAATAGCCCTGTGCCATCCTTAGGCCATTCCTCTCTCCCAGGGTGAATCCCCTTGCAACCTGAGTCCCCGAAGACTTGTACCCTACACCCCTCCCACCTATTCTGGCTCCCTTAACTGAACATTAGAGATGAGCATACAGGGAATCCTCCAAAATGCAGTTAGGGGCTGTGTTTCCTCCTCTATCAACTAGGAGCCACCTAGCCCTGCCTCATTCCTTGGAAGGGATTTTCTGGGATGCAGTTTGGGGCCCTTGGCCTGTGTGTGTACACCTCATACTGTTCTTATCTGTCCCTTTCACTCTACAGGTGGAGAAGAGCTGATTATGGGGTTGTAGATGAGGGGGTCAGGCCACACACACACATTAGGACTCAGGTTACTCAAGGACAACAGCACCTCCTGCACGGTGTCTCCTGCTCAAGGGGAGGGCACTTTCAGGGTCCTGGTCTTGGTTTCCTCAAGGGTCACGTGGGCCTCCCCTCCACAGAGCCCCTCTACGAAGTGCTGCAGGGGCACATGGATCCCTTGATCACATCCTCAGGAGTAAGTAGGCCCTGTGTCCCCAGTCTCCCCTGTGGCCCCACCCAGCCAGAGGGACTTACCCTCTGTGGGTGAGGTCTTCAGCCTCCTGCAAAGCCCACTGACATCCCCGTAGGCTTCCTGGATCTTCTGTAGTGCCTCAGCCCCTCGGAGCTCCATGAGGGTGCGCAGCTCAGCCAATGTGCACCCAAAGCCGCCTGCATGGGGGGCCTCCCGCTGCTGCTGGGGCTTGGGGTGGAATTCGATGGAACTGTTGGCCATATCGCCCATCCTATCTGTCGGGCCTTCTCACAGAAGTAGCCTCAGCTCAGCCACAGATGGGAATAGGTGGCCACCTGCAGTCCCAGTGGCCAGGCAAGGTGCAGTGATGGTGGGAAAGTGGTTTAGTGTGGACACCTGGGGAGGAGGTGAGAAGAAGCCAAGGGTTGAGACAGAACTAAGGTCCAGTCTTCCAGAACATACTCTATAAATCTTTACTCTGTATAAGCCAGGCTGCATCAGGGACCCTCATGCCCTGCAAGGCCCCACCCTCCAGGCCACCCCCAGTTCTGCCCACTGTGAGCACCCAGAGCTGGGAGGGCTTGCCCAGGTAAGGATGGAAGAAGTGTCAGTGCCTCCTGTCAGGGACCTTCCTGACAACAGCACTGGCCAGCCGGGGCACAGAGGCTGTTGTCCCCAAATCCATTTGGAAACCCATCTGAGGCAGTGCATTGGGATTGACAGTGGCCAGTCCTGCCTAGTATGGGTAAACTATTTGCGCCCCATGGTCAACTCCTTGCCTGTCCCCCCATCTCACTCCCTGCTCTTGCCTGATTAAGACTCGCCCGGTGCAGCTGGCATGCTATAAATCCCGGTGGTCTTCTGGTGCAGCCTCAGTGACTCAGTTTCAGGCCTGGGGCTGTGCAAGGCTCCTGAGAGTAGGCCCAGCCATGGACGGGGACAGCTGGGCTCGAGGTCAAGGCTTAGTGCACAAGGTACTTCTGTAGCCCTGAGGGTACCTGGGGGCCAGGAGGGATGAAAGGAGGAAGCCCAGAGGGAGGGAGGCAGAGAGGGGAGATGAGGGGGAAGGAGAGAGAGAAGGTGGGAAAAGGGAAGGGAGGGAGAGAGGGAAGGGACAAAGGAAGTAAAGGGGAAGTGACCAGGAAAAGGCACATGGGAAAAAGGCCAGAGCAGCCACAGGTCACTGGTGACTGCCAACACCCTGCCCCCAGCACAGTGCTATCCATACCCGTCCAACACGCTTCCCTCCTGAGGACACAGTAAGGAGCTGGGCTCTTCCACACTCAAAGCAGCCAGGCCACTGCCAGGCTGCACACCATTCCCCCCTTTGAGAGCAGCATGAGGCTGTCATCCCTCACACTGTCCCCTATACACCAGTGCCCCTCTCCTCAGCCAAGGAACTGCTGGTGAGAACACTGGGCTGTCCTGGGCTTGCCTCCTTCCTCGGCTGGGTCACAGCCCTCCCTGACTTCACTTTTCCTATATCTTCTTCCTAGAAGCCTGCACATAAGAGGGCACATACCCCAAGGTCATGTGATACATCCTCCTGGAACTGAACTAGTCCAGTGCACATGGCCTTGGCTTTGACATCAGCAGAGTCCCCCCCCCCCCTGGTGACAAGGTTCAGTTGGGCCAGACCTCACCTTTGGGGAAGCTCCAGTTTTCTGATCTAGAACCACCCAGGATGATAGACCCCTGAAAAACAGGCAAAAAGGCCCTTGAGAAGGCAAGGGAGTGGGGCAAGTTCATGGCCTTTGCTCTCAGGACAGCTCCTGCCTCTTACAGCCCAGCAGTCTACAATCCTATGATCCTACTAGCCCCTATGTGATGTACCACAGCCCTCATGGGAGAAGACCAGAGTTTCTGGGAAACAATGAGCTATTCCAGCATGGGCCCCCAGCCCATACAAGAGAAATCCAAAAGAAGCCACAGGTCAGGGGATCTGCTTCAGAAAATGCCTATCCCAAGTGATCCCCAACTGAAAGGTTTGGACACCTGGTGTTAACTTTCTAGACACTGGCCATGAGGAGAAGCCTTCAGTTCCGGATGATGTGGGAACATGACGGACACATGCCTGCACCATCCTCCCCCTTTCCCACACACCTCTTTCCCACCCATTCCTCCAGCCAATCGTCTGACGCATATTTACTGAGCATCTATGTGTGCCCAGCAAGGGCATGTGTAAGTGGGGGCAGAGGGTCTACGAGACTAAGCTAATTCCTTCTCTGCATTGTAGGCACATAACAAGCAGGGTGACAGAGATAAGGTCAGGCTCAAGAGCCAAGAGCCACGGGGTTTCAGGAAGGGTGGGGGGAGGGGCTGAGGCCCTTCTGCTTGACTGAGCAGCAGAGGTGAGCCCTGAGCTCAAGAATATCCGGGGCAAGCAATGTGAGTACAGGAAGCCAGGCAGCCCCTGGTGGGCTCTTTCCGGGGGTGCCCTGTGAACACCCCCAGCCACCTAGAAGGTGGTGGCAGTAACCACTCTCCTTTTTGTCAGTGAAGGAAACTAGGGTTTGACCAAGGGAAATTGCTGTGCCAGAGGAAGCTGGATCTGCTGCCTCTGACAGCTCAAGGCAGCGATGGCTGCTTTCAACTGATACCTGCACTCCTTGTCTTCAGGTTGCCTCCACCTACCCCTGCCCTGGAACCTTGGCTTAGGACAATGCCTCTGTCTGCCAGGTGTGCCTTCTCCTCTCCCTTCTCTGAGCTGAGCTCCAGGTGCCCCATACAACCTTAGTACACAGCATCTGTAAGGTTTGGGCTGTTCCCCACCCCTGCCACCTCCAGCCTGCTGGCTGCTAGACTGAGGAATAGACAGGTCTGGTTCAACCACACAGGCACTGGCTTACACCAATACAAAACCCCTGTGAGCTAGCTTCCTAGGCCCCAGGCAGGAAGGGCTGCTGTGAGAGACCCAAACAATAGGGCCCATGTGTATTGGAGGCTCCAGCCAATGTCCCCAACTGAGCTGCCTAGGGACACTACATGGGCAGTTTCTAAAAGGAAAGATGGATGATTTTGTTCCTTTGGAGCACATTCATTTTTTCAGCCTCTTCACACACTTGGAGGAGTAGAGGAGGTTGTAGAGTACCTACAGGACACGGGGCAGGGGACAGAGTGAATGGTACATTGAGTGGGTGGGCTCTTGGGTGGTGCATGAGCCCAACAGAAATTCCTGTTCTTCAGAGCAAGTACCTGCAGGCCACAGGCACAGTTACCCAGGTATGGGGCCTTTACTCAGTCTTGTACTTCTCCCTCCTCTGACCAGGCTAGGTCTACCCTTCCACTCCCTGCCCCTGCTGCCCAGTGTGGTCATGCCCTCAATTAAGCAGCAGTAGTGGCCCAGGCAGAGCCACACCAGGTCCTTGAGAAGCTCCTGACTGGTGTACTGTCTTCACTGTGGCTGACCAGGCCAGTGGTGATTCATGGTAAGGACACCAAACAGAAAGGCAAGGCCAGAGCTTCTGATGAGGTCAAGCTGTGTCCCCTCCCTGCAGCCAGAGAGATTCTGCCCTATCAGGCAACTGGTCACCATGCTGCTCTGAGCCACCATCTTCCCCTATTCAGGCACCATCATTCTAGAACAAAACATGTTGGTCCTGCCATGCTCCCTGTTTCATTTCCCCAGTTCCATCAAGTAAAGGGCCTACTTCCTTCAAAGCACCTTCTGGATCCTTTCCTGCCCCCACACCCTGCCTGTTCACTGTGCCCCACTTTGGCCTACCTATGGCCACTGCTCACTCTGCCACAGTTGCACTGCTCTGAGACTTGAGCACACACCTTTCTCTCCCATCCCCACCTGCTGATCTCCAATGAATTTTTTTTTTTACTCACAATTCCGGTGGAACATTCTCCAAAACATCTCTGCCAGTTAATACTCCAGCCAAAATTGATTGCTGCAGAGTTTAGAATCCCATGGCCATTCCTATTTTGCTCTGCTTGGCACCAATACTTGGTGACTCTGTTTCTCCCACTTTCCAAATCATTAGCTCTTTGAAATGGGTGGTTATTGAGTCGGCAGGAAGTCTACTGTGTGGTCAGCCCTAGCTGGGGACAGGGCTGGAGGAATGAGTGAATGGCGGTAAGGCAGATTGGGATGGGCAGTCACATTTACCCACCTTGTCTTTATGAACTTAACAGGCCATGGGCTAGGAGCCATCAGTCAAGGTGAGGTCCAGGTTTGAGTAACTGTTGGCTACCATAGAGAGCAAACAGCATATACTCTTCTTTCTCTAGGTCTCTGTAAACCTGAGAAATGGCCTCCATCAGTTTGAATAAGGACAACAGGCATCACTGAAATGGCCAAGAACAGAAGTGACCAGGCCTATCAGTTCTGCAGACCTGACAGAGTTTCCGGCCTGGGCTGGTTGCCGAGAACGGCCTGTAGGCACCAAAAGGGCAGGGAACGTACCATTTCTGGGCTCTTTCATCTTTCAGACCTTAATTGGCTTAATTGAATTGAGAACTTCCACAGAGGGGCACTGGGACCTTCCGGCACTTGCTCCATCCTGGCACAAATTGGCCAGCATCATGGGGTGGAGTGACAGAGACCTGTATTGGGTTCCCTAGCCTACCTCACCCTCACTATGTGACTGTCAACAGGTTGCTACCTCAGAGGATTGTTGAAAGATGTAACCTAAGTCCAGACCCATCACCTAAATGCATTCTACAATCTTCCCTCATGGGGCCCAGACACCTTCACCTCCCCCTCAGGGCAAAACAGTGCACATCCCTAACCCAAAACCCTGGGGTCCCTCCTGTGATGTCTTTCTCTGACCATCTCTAATGAGGCTTTGGGGAACCTCCTAGTTCCTCTGATTTAATCCCCTTAGACTCCCCTAAAGTCCTGGGCTGCCCTCCAGGGAGCTGTAAAGTTCCCAAGTGAGGGACACCTTTGTCCCCAGCCTCCCCTCTTGTGATCTCACTCTCAACATGGACTTTTGAGCTGCCAGTGTCCATGGGATCTTAGCACCTGCCAATGCCTACATACAGCCCTCATAGAAGACACACAGACACCCATAGCACACAGGGAAACTGAGGCTGCCTGAGGGTCACAGATGCCGAACTTCAGGTTCCTGTTTGGCAGTGCCTTCAATGTGGCCTGAAGTGAGTCACAGCCACCCAGGATGGGACACCCTGAGCAACTTTTCCAGCAGACCCAGGCTGTATTCCCTGACCACCTGCTCTGTGTGGGGTGTCTGGCCTCACCTTCAGAGGGGACAGTGAATGGTGGGAGGAAGTCCACCACCATCCCCAAGTCAGAGCTCAAAAATGCATTAGAATTCATCCCATTCTCAAGTCTAGAAACAGCCCCAGGGCCAGCCCTGCTTGGCACCAGCCAAGTTCGTGGGGGCATGTATCCCCATGCCCATAATGGGCATTTGCCACCAAAAGCT